GCGGGGTTCTTCAATTCTCGCTAACTACCTCCGCGCTCGCTAAGTAAGAGAATCTCTCACCGAACTTGTTTCCTTCTATTTAAATCAGAATACTTCCGCTGATAATTTGAATCCTTGCGCGTTCTACTCAAATTTACATATTCTGGCATTGGCAGTTCCAGGGGAAAGTAAGGCTTGACAGGAAAGATAGTTTAAACTTAAAATAAATGTTAGTTAAAATAAATATAAACCCTACAAGTAAATAAAATATATTTTTATTTTTAAAAACTAAAATAATGCAAATAAAAACAATTGTTTTAATGAAGGATTTGACCACTTCTGACCACCTTGATAAAAGATCTGCAAGGACTTCATATTTTCAATTAAATAGTCGTCTGCATTAGTGAACAGATTTTACCATCCATTTGATAAGGCAAATAATAAGTCCAATTAATAAGGTAGTTCCCCTTTTTTATAGTTGTTGGAGAATGTGCAGGGTAACTTAGAGCCCGTCCAAAAGAATTTCAAAAATTTTCCATAATGTTAGTTCATAAAAATACGATGGGCAGTCTGTGCGAGCAGTTTCATACAAAATCTAGAGCATTATCATTTATAAATGAAAAAACAACTGTTGTAACGTGCAGTCTCGCAATGGTGTTAATTATCTCATCCTGCTACCTTTGATTCATCACAGTGTCTCCAGTAAATAAACGCAAATCGGAGAGCATAACTCAAAGAAATCCACTGCACCATGCCATTAACTGAAGATATGGTATTCAGGGATGTTAATAAGATATGGTGTTCAGTGATGTTAATGGGCGTGTTCTATAACGGCACAAACTCGTAGTGCTAAGATACATAGTCTTTTCATATTATTTAATATTTACCGTACTTCTACTAAACTAATAGTAATTTATTATTTACCGTATTACTCCCCGAATACTATTTTCGTATTATTTAGTATTTACCGTACAGCATTGGGTATTATTGACCTTCCAATCTTTCTAGAATTGATGTTTTCGCCCGATTGTGCTTAATTAACAAAGCCATGCATACTGGAGAGAAAAATGAAAGGGACAACAATGGAAAAGGGCTTTGCATAAACTCTAATAATTGAAATCTATTAAAAGGCAAATATTTGGCAGCTCTATAAACTATTCTCTCCCTCCTTTCTGCATGCCTTCGTGGTGTAACAGTAGTCCACACGACGCGTAAAAGAGAGGTCCAGGCTCGAGTCCCTGCGAGGGCATGCGTATTTTTTAAGTCTTCTCCTTCAGAAAAATATCCTAATGATTTTACAGTGGCGTCCGAACTAAAAGGTGGTGGATGATGATTCTTCAGTACCAGAATTTAGTGATTGGGTCTCTTAATCCCCAGTCACTATTTAAAAGAGAGAGTATGTAAAATATTCTCTCCCTTCTTTCTGCATGGCGTCGGGGTGCAACAGTAGCACATTCGGCGCGTATTCGAGAGGTCCAGGTTCGAATCTCGGCGAGAGCATTGCAGATTTTTCACGTGCCCTGCTTCAGAAAAAAATCCTAATGACTCTACAGCTCAAGGTAAACGTTATCAAACAGTCTAACAGGATTTATCTTTGCTACATTAAAATTTTGCACCCGGCATGTGCGGAAAGTGCAAGAAGATGTTTCAAATTTTTAATTTCAAGTGCTGTACGAGTATGTGGATAAACGTGTCGTGTGTGGAAGGCAAACATCTCGTTACGAAGGCATTTAACACGTTGAGCGCGGCGCCGAATTTACTGTCCTTTCCGTTCAGCCGGCAGCGAGATAAGCCGTAAAGCTAAGCTGTATTTTTGTTTAGAATGTTTCAATACATTTCATTAAAACTAAATTTGATCACATTTTATTGAGACTATATTTATTTTTTAACTTTAATACTGTCGGTCCAGCGGACCGACGCCAGCCAAACGAAAATTCCAGTGCCGGTCCCCAGGGACCGACGCCGGTCACACGGAAAGTTCACTGCCGGTCCCCAGGGACCGGCGCCGCGCTCAACGTGTTAACTGATGAAGGGAAATGGCGAATGACGGTGCGAATGAAAGTAGAACAATTACTGACACATATCTATAAAGATCTGAAAGTAGCCAAAAGTAATATGTAAACAATCCAAAAAAGATTTAAAGACACTGTTTATGTGTGCAGATAACCAAGTCGAAAACTTGCCACAACGGTCTTTTAAAGCCGTTATTTGGCAAAGGTTACTTAAGGAAATAGACAACTGACATCAGCTCCGATTGCAAGGGATTTCGCTGCAGCTATAAGAACTCAACTATTTAGATAGGCCACGAATAACAGATTGCATAAAAGAGGGGTGTATTTCCAGGAAATTCATTTTTTGCGTCACACTAACTCGAGGTGAAAAATGCTTCTAGTTGGAAAGTGCTGAAATAATCGTGACTGGAGTACTACTATGGTTTGGGTTAGTTATCTTTATTGTTGAATTTTGTTTTTGTTCGCAGATTTAATTATGAACTTGCTATAATCTGAAGGGAGCAAACCTGAAAACATTCTTGAAACGCATCAGTACAAAGATAGTGAAATTATGATATGGGTAAGCATCATTTTGAGTGGCAGCACTGACTTATACATTTTTACTACAATTATAAATACCGAAATATCCAGAAATGAGGTTCTGATCATGATGTCAAGTTGTTTAGAATTGCAATCGAGAACAGCTTCCTTCTAAAGGGCAAGGATGCCCCTTCCTGTCGTGCTGTGCTAATGATCGATTATCTTGAGGGAGAATGAATCGAGTGAATGGATTGACCGTTATATTTTCCGAATTTAAATACGATAGAACATGCGTGGGATACACTAAGACGACTTGTATCACTGCTGTCTCGATCTAGCACTCCTTAGGAGCTTCAAAGTCTCTATTCATTTTGAATATATAATTTGTTATTGCGAGAACTAATGAACAATTTGATACGCATGTTGCAAAACCATTGTAAAGCTGGTCAGGAAAGAAAATACATCTTATTAATGTTTCTATGTATTTTTTAAATATTTATATATATTTTCTCCTCCCTCACTTTATGTCGCATTTTATATGTTTCTATTTAAACTTACTCCTTTATTTACTTTTATTTTATTTTCTTTACCTACTTTATTTACTTTATTTATTTATTATTATTTGTTTTATTTTTAAAATCCTTCAATTTATATTAATTTTTATATCTATTTGTTTAATTGTTTCCACCAGTGCGCTTATCATAAGAAGGTTCAGTAACACCTAGACGAGATTTAGAATATGTATCTTGCCTATCGACTCTCTGATTTGAAATAGTTTTCATAGGTGAGAAATCACAGAATGTTCAATTTCAAGAATAGTAACATCTGTAATGATTTGTCTTTCCTGAAACCTCTAGATAACATGTCAAGGTTGAAAAATCATCTGATCATCTTCTTTGGGTCCTAACTGATTTTATCCAACCAAAGAATAACCAGAATCATCTTTCAAAAACTTTTTGTTGACAGTTAAAAATCAAAGAATTAAGAGCGCTATCGTCTAAATGACGCCCCGAGCAACCGGGACAGTGGTTAACGACGCTGACTGCCGTACCGAAAGGCAGAGTTCGAATACCGGAAAAGGTATGAATGTTTGTATATTTATAGTGTCTGTGCGGTATGGGGGCACTCTAAATAAACAGTGAGTCGAGTCCTTGCGAGAGGTTGATAATAGGGGAAGAGGGGTGGAAGACTCTCGCATCCGTCCCATCGAGGTGCTCTTCATCAAAATTAGGCCTGAACTGGGCAAAAACTTGAATGATGTCCAAGGTTGTTGCCAACATAGGCGCAATATTGACCACTTACCGCGATGAATTTTGTGGGCTTTCTGATGTTAGAGACCTGATCAGATGTTACTGTTGATCGGGTGGGATAAGTCACAACAACAACACCAATGCCTAATTTTCATATTTGTGAAGCGTAAATTTTAAACTGTCGTCTTAAGTGAATGTGCTATATCTGCATATTCTTTTTTGCATGCATAGTGAGTTTTATCCAATGAAGCGGAAACACACTCTTGAAAAATCAGACTTTGTATGCGTGTTTAGCTTTCGGAAAGAAGCGGGATAGAGAGATGGGGCTGTACAAAAGGAGATTCTTTGATGAAAAATATAAAATACAATAATGAAGTAATGATATATAAACTATATAATTATTAATAACTAATCCCTAATTATCAATGGACTTATAATTCTGGGTAAATACATAAAATAAAAAATACACATAAAAGAAAATTTCAAAAATTCTCGCAACCTCCGAAAGACCTACGTTTTTTTAGAACCACTGCTCATTTATATTCAGGTTTTGTAGATTCGTTTTAATTTATAGCATTTTATTTCATACTTCTAGAGTTAGTGATGCCATTCTAAATATAATAAATGAATAGACGGATTAAAAATAATTTTTTATTAGATTCAAAACAAAATCTTATTGGGTGTCAACGAAGGGTCATATTTCTGGCATAATGATTTATACATTCTTCCTTCAAATCAGAAAATCGTTTTTTTAATGTTAAAATATTAGTTATTAACTGTAACTAGTTCTTTGCTTTCTACCTTCTAGTATTGCTATTGTTTCGCTTCCACTCAGATGTAAAAATAGAAAGTTTTAACTATAATTTGCTTTCCGTATAAACTATTCTATAAATTAAATTAAAATTTACCGTATAATTAAACTTTCGAACCCAGAAAAATTCTCCAAAATCTAGGAATTAAAAAAGTTTTAGTTTAACACCGTTTAGTCAAGAAGATTAATATTTAAAATTTGAAACCAAATTTGAAGAAAAATAACCGCTGTAAACCTTTTGATGGTAGTGCATTCTTCCATCGAATTTCTTAAAACAACAGTAAATGCTTTATCAGGTTTTGGCGAAATAAAAGGGGATTGGCGGTGTTTGGCACCAAATGCGTACGCTCTCTCATCGAGGCGACAGAGCAGGAGCATTCAAACTCGAGCTTGTTTTATTTACTGCTCTCTGCATCATTTGGAGCGGCAGTTCTCAACCGTTGTGAGAGAGGTCAAAGTTTGTGACTGCTATTCGTCTTTCTGAGAAAGATACTGATAAAAAAAAAAAGGGTGAGATAACTAAAAAAAACCCTCTTTTTTTAAACCAGCAAAAATACGTGGAGTTTGTTGGAGAAGAAATTTGTTGAAAGAACTGGAACTATTTTTTCAAATTACTTTTATCTCAGAACACTATAATTAAGGTAAACATTCAAAAAAAATTATTCATTTGTGGTTAGAAGCCTGCATTCCTTTGTTAAATATACAGCATAGTCTGAATGACTTCTAAATATCTGTAATATAGAGACGTAGTATATATATATAGGCTTTTAAACAAAACTGTTATAAAAATTGAAGTCAGGAAATCTGAAAGTTTTTGAAAACTAGTAAATCAGATTATTCTTTCTTTGTGAACATTTTATTTGTTACCTTTTGAAAGTATTTGGTGTAAAAATTAAAAAAATAGGAAACATTGCTCTTTGCTTTACTACATTCAAATGATTTTGAAAGTTAAATCAATTGTGTATTGAAAGATAAAAATTAGAAAAACTATTCTTTCTATAGAGAAATTTCTGGAACATTCTGTTAAAGACATTTATAACGATATATATTCTTGTTAATATCTTTCTAAAAAAGAATTTTCTTCACTGTGAGCTAACGACATCTCATGCTTGAGAAACATTTCATAAAATATGGTATTTTATAGACAGATTATCATATTAAATATTATTCTTCTGGAACGAAATCACTGTGATTAAGGCTAATAAGCTTAAAAATAACTAGTACTGTAGATATGGAGTACGAAAATTACATCGGAAATCAATTCGAATTTGACGGAACTGAAAATATTCCTGACACATTTTCCTTCATTAAAGTTTCAACTACTCCTAGTACCCTATCAGAAATTTCAACTGCGAAACTGGAAGGAGCTCAACTGTTAAAAGCTCAGACTCCAGAAGAAAGATCAACATCGACAATTCTAGCCCAGTTATATGGTAAGCGTTTTTCAATTAATATGATAAGTTTCAAACATTATTTGATGTAACCGATATAGCATCTTTGTTTTGAATTATTAGTCCTCGTTAATCCCGATCAGTTTAAGTTTTATTGAATGCTGCGTTTTAAAACTGTTATGTCACTACATCTTTACTGCAAAGGTAAAAGAAAATACATATAGAACTTAATAACTTTTTATTGAAATATTTATGCTTTAAATAATTCTAAATTCTGTATGAATATAACAAACAACTGAATGCTGCTTAGGATGGTTAAGATAGATATTCATACGTTTTGGAGTTTCAAACTGAAGACATTTTGAGGAATATTTCTTAAAATTTATATAGATTTCTGGTAGATCTAATTCAATAATTTCGATGTGTCTAATTTACTCTCTCTATATACAGAGAGTAAATTAACACTTTATTATTCCTATGTTCTTGTAAATTTTATTTTGCATTTTATCTCAAATTTATCTTTAATATGGGTTTAAATGTCATTCTTCCTTTGTATTTTTTATTATCTAATTAAGAAAGAAGAACGCCTTCATCGAGTATACGCTCAGTTTCTTTTAAGTTTCTTTTCAGAAAGTATTAACTTTCTTGGACAGTTATTCCTAGTGTATTTTGCTGTGATAATTAATTTACATTAACTGTCTTCGATCATTCCTTCTTATATATATGTTTTATCCTCATCATTTATTTTTTTTATGTATGTTAATGCAATGCCTCTTTTTGGAAGTACATTAATTCGTAAAACTCAGTTGTTAAAATTTGAGTCAAGTTTATAGATCTAAGTTCAAAATATTAATTGAAGCTTTTTCATGCGTCTACATTACACTTATTATGATATCTTATTTCGTATTAAAATACCTAAGATGTCTAACTGTCTTGAAAGAGTAATTAATATTTCGTAATAATAATTGCAGCCGAATGAAATAATATTACCTGTCCTGTGCCTGTACTTGCTATGTTTACTAGTGTGTATTTAATTCATTGTATAAAAATACATAGAGCAAGTTTAGTTCTAGGTGTACCATCTAATCATAAATCTGAAAACAATAACCCTGATCACGTACAGTCTGGGCATACTTGTTGATATGTACTATTATTATTTAAAAAAAAGAGCTATATGATAATAAGAGTTCTTGCTTAAAATAATTATTTAAGTCTAAATTGCATTTAGGTTGCTGTTTTGCAAGTCTTTGATACATTTATATGTAAATTTACACTCTTTTTTTAAAGATATAAAGCTATAACGCAAAATTACTATGAAAATATAAAAAAGCAAGCTTTAAAGATTGAATATTTTATCTAACACTTTAAATTTTGCCATCCTATGTATGACTATTGTTGGAATCGAGTTCCAGAATAATTCTTGAAGAAGTTCAGAATCTGAAGGTATAATTACAAGCTGAAATATCTCAGGGAGACCAATTCTTGAATTTCCTGTTTCACTTAATATCCAGAACATCATTTGATATTTTTTTATTCTTGAGAATATTCAACGAGAAAGATAAAAACTTTGATAACCAATAGCAGAATTGATACCATGTGCTATTTAAATTAATATAATATCTAGAACGTACCGAAAAAGATTTAGAGTACAAATTCAATACTGCGAGTTCCATTTCATCGGATCAACAATTGCTCAGATTACTTGTTATTTTGACCAAAAAATAAATAAAACGATTAAGCTTGTTATTATTAATTGCTATTATTAAGCTTGTTATTAAGTTATTTACGCGTTGTTTTTCTTTTTCTTTCTTTCTTTTCATTCAAATGCTATAAAAAGTAAATATTACGTGTTAGTATTAAAGCGATATTATATTAATTTATGTGATTGTGTATGCCAAGTAAATTTGTCTGCAGTATTAGGTAAATAACGTTAACGGAAATATGTTTACATAAGTTTAGACTTTTGTTTACTTTGTTAGGTTTGTTTACAGCTTACCTTGTAAACATAGTCACTTATTTTACATTTCATTTAAGATACATACAAATAAATAAATAGTTTCATTGTTTAATTACGTAGAGAAATATGTCCTGTATTTAGTTTCTCAGAAATAGAAATATTTTTTTATCCTATAAGTTTTGGAAAAAAGGACGGTAGATAAAAAAAATAAAATCCTATGGTGTGCATTACAATATGTACTCATTCTGCTTACGGAAACGTATAACTTAATTAACAGTATTTGTATAATAATATGTATATTATATAATATTTGACAATTCGGTGCTTAGTTATTATTTATAACATCTTATTTTTGAGATTAACATTTTTGTATTCCGAAAACTTATTATTTATGAAGCTTTTAATTTAAGAAGTCGGAGTCAGAACACTTAGACGTCTAGTTCGTTTTTCTTACTAAGTGTTAAACTCATTCGAAACCAATTCATATTCGTTTCGAATGAGTTAAACACTTAACTGGTTTCAAATGGGTTAAACGCATTATGTAAGAATGCAGAGTATTTTAAATAAAATTTTTCTTTTAGATTTCAGTGCATTGAGCTTACAATAAAAAAAATTTAAATAAAAAAAAAAGTTTCATTACAAATTTTCTGAGTAAATGAGAGATTGTTTATAGAATCAACTCGACTATTGTAATAGTACTCAGTTGAATGCCTTATGAAGAAATATGGGCGTCATAATTTTTTGATCTAACGGTCATTCTTAGGTTAGGTTAATTACTTAAGGCAAAGCATCTCGAGAGCTATCTGCCTATGGAGAGGGATGGACTTTTTAAGGGAAACTAGCTCTTATCCAAGTTATATATAGGGAAAACCACCTTGTAGTCAAGCCGTTGCCGGGATACGAACCCAGGTCAAAATACCAGCATTCAGTGACTTTACCAGTCAACCGCTAGTGGGTTCAATGTTTATTATGAATAACTGAAAATTGCAAAGAATCTGATGTAATAAGTATCTTTTAAAATTGATTCATACTTATGTACGTTATGTGGTTGTAGAGCCTTATATACTTCAGTAAAGAATTTTTTAAGAGAAAAAGAGCTTTGGGTGATCTCGAGTTCTGATTGTCAGACAAAGTATGGAAGTTTGTAAATGTATAATATCTTTCTAAGTTTGAAATTCTTTAGAAAGGGATTGATTATAAGGAATGAGGCATACAAAGCCCAGGGCAAACAAACTTCAGTGAGCAAAATCATTCTATCTTCCTCGAAGCCCAAGGTCTAAAGCCAAGAAAAGCACTTTTGATTTCATCCACAATTATTCGAAAGGCTCTTTTTGAAATCATGTACAAGATCATTAATGGAGTCGACTTCTGATATCATCCACGATGGCTATATTCCCATAGTGGGGATAAGTACTACATCAACTGTATATGAATCAGGAATCTGATTTATTCTCATCACTTTGAAAATACTAAACACTTTTAATACTCTATGAAGCTTTGTACATTTTTTAAGGTGGAATGTTACGAAGGCAAATTAAATATGAAAAATAATATGACAAATTTTTTTACATTTCTTTTATATGGTTTTGAATTCTGAGTTAATTTGGGAGATGATGACAAGGGAAAGTAATAAGTATAAGCAAACATATTAGAGGACAGCAATTAAAAATATATCAAATGCTTTTCCAAGTGAAGAATATACTGATGAAAAATTAGAATAAAAATTACGATGTAAAATATAAATAAACTAAATGATGTTTCTCTGACATTTGTGGACTTGTAAAACTGTCACATCAAATTAATATTTACTTTACAATTTTGATATCGAACGCTAATTCTTGTTAAACGTATTTATCTTAAATATTAGTTTTAATTTATTTATTATTATTAAACTAATATTTTACAAACAACAAATATTATTTCTATTATTAGTAAAAATATTAGTTTTTAACTTATTTTTAGGTCACTTGGACACGAATAATTTGGAATGAAACTTATCCCTCCCCATTTATATATTATTATGTAATCATTAATGTTTTTCCTGCATCTTTCTCATTATTTTTGGAGAAAGATTCGACAAGTTGATCTGCACTAAGAGAAAAAATTCAATTACTGTGACAATCAAATAGAGAAAATGGAGAAAACTAAATAGAGTAAGCCTCCCCATATGTCCCGCGCAATTAAAATGAAGCCATTAAACGTTACGATATGATATCATGACTTATCATGGACGCTGCCATAGATGAATATCTGGTTGGTTTTGTTTAGATTCTAATGGTTGTTGTCTACATGTTAGCTATTCATTATTAAAAGTTTATAAATGTTTCGTTCTAATTTTAATACTTAATCTAAATGATTTTCTACTTAGTATAGAGAAAAATCACAAGGGCTGCGAATAACTGTTCCAGATATAATAAAATCTAGATATATGATATATAATTACAAGACAAATGGGTACATGGTAAAATCTAGATGACCAATGAAACTTTTAGTGGTATTTACCTCAAATTACGCTTAAAGGCATTTTTATGAGGCCTGCGGACATTAATATTTGCTCTCGAAGTCACTATAATTTTATTTAAAATATGTTTCGTAATCTTATCCTTACAATGAACGGCGACCATGATAGGTCGTGACGTCAATTGTTGATGAAGTCTCCTTCATTTTTGTGATGTCATGCTTACTACATCTAATCTAACCTCGTTGGTAACTACAGTCCATGAAAAGGGTGTTCATTAGTTGGAAATATGAAAGCATACTCAGTTGGGGTTTTATTTGACTTTTGAGAGGCTGTTAAATATTATTAGTTAGTGATACCTGTTAATGTTGAAGGTTATGATTATGCCCCACTGACCAGGCTTTCGAACTAAGGTAAAACCGAACGGAATCGTGGAAAAAACAACAAGCAGCCACCACAACAAGGCAATAGCTGAAAGACCAAGTGCCATTAATTGCTCTTAATCAGGAATGCCATAGAAAAGTACTTTACAAAAATGATAACAGGACATCTTGCATAAGATGCTACATATGACAATAAGCAAAAAATCAGTGTATAATATTATAGTACAATAATAATGCATTTAGT